CCTTCTCATTTTAATCCAAAAAAGCTTGAGTGGAGCCCCCCGTTCCACAAAAAGTAAAGATTCTCGGTCCCACGTGTTAGCTAAGACGTTATCTCGGATGTTGTTGCTTGTTTCGGCTCCAAATCACAAAATTTTCGACTTTCTAAAAACCTTAAATCGAGGTATTTCAACTTAGTTTTTATTAAAACTTGTATGCATATTAGCTATTTTTATGTGCTCTATGTTATTTTGTGATTGTTTTGCGATTTAACTATTTTTTACTTTTTATTCGGACTATAGTATTAGTGTGCTAAAAAATTTTGTAAAATAGAGAAATTGTTATTAGTTGTTAAAAAAATATTAATTAGTTACTTTTTACTGTGGTATATGTAATTTCGTGATTGTTCTGTGATTAAATTGATTTGTTATTTTTATCCAATTTAGATTATTAATTTGCTAAAAGACTAGTAAACTAGATAAATTTTTACTTTAGTTCCCTGTAGTGGTATCTTGTGGTCTAATGTAGTGCTCATATTTATAATGTAGTGAACTTTTAGTGTAGTAAAACGTAGTATCCTTTAGCATAATATCCTTCTAGTTATAGAAATGACACATTTAAGTATCTCTTAATCCCAAAAATACGTGAAGAAGCTGATAGTTCAAACACAAACTATCTCCAATGATAGTCAACAAACGTAAGAACATAAGCATTCAGGATACATTGATGCTACTGCGCCTAAAATATTGTGTCAGAAACCAAAATGTGAATATTTAATAATTAAATCTTGTATAGTTATGAAAATTAATTATTTAATTTTGGTATAGTAAAAAATAAGTCAGTAAGAAACAAACAAACATATAAAATAATAAAACTAACATTTACAATAATAAAGTAACATATAAAATAACAGACCTGTTGAGTGAAAAATCGAAAAATATTTCTCATCATGAACATAAGAATTCAGGATACATTGGTGCTACTGGCCTCAATATTGTGTCTGGAACCAAAATATGAATATTTAATAATTAAATCATGTATAGTAAAAAATAGGTGAATAACTAACAAACATATAAAGTAATAAAATAAAAATATTAAAGTAACATATAAAATATAAAATTATAATATATAAAATGTATCAATCTAATAAATAATATAGTAAAAATATCTAAAAAAATTTAATATTTCAAGGTATTGCAATATATTTAAGCAGTGGAAAAGAAAAATAATATAATTAATTTTGTTTAATTTACAGTAGTCATCATGGAGGTTCCGCCTTTGCATCCGGGACTTGCCTCCCTGGAGCTACTACAGTTACAGCCCGAGCATAGGTCTTCCTACATATGGGAGGGGCAATTATTAGCCCAAACTTCACGTTCTAGGAGAATAGACGATATGTGGGACTTCCTTAAGGACCGCCGGCTCCATCCTTGTGTAGTCAGACGCTTGCAGGATACGGGTTTTTATAGGATCATTGAGATCGGTCGGCTGCAGCTGGATTGGTCGTTGATCACGGCTTTGATAGAGCGGTAGCGACCAAAGACGCACACATTCCATTGCCCATTGGCGAGGCCACTATCACGCTGCAAGACGTGGAGGTCCTGTATGGTCTGCTGGTTGATAGACTTCTTGTTGCTTTGCCGTAAGGCATAAGAGGTTATATGGGAGCTCAGTACTTGGAGACGTTGCAGCAGCTCACTGGTTTCCGGCCAGAGGATGAGGGTGTATTGGTTGGGGCTAGTCGTCTTGCGTTGACGCTCGTCCGGCTGCATTTGGAGGCCATGCATGATGACATTGCTT